CAAATGGGAACAATGTTCACAACACCACCTAATGTCCACAACAAACGGCATTTCAACAACATTGAATTTCCAATAATCGACTTCGATGGCCTATTTTTCCACAAATGTTCAACGTAACGTCAAAAATGACTCATACCTGTTGCCATCGCACCACCACACGGTTAACGATGCCTCCGACGACCTGGTCTAACGTTTCCAGTGTTTCGCCGACAACGTTAATCGCACACCAAAAAACACCACCGCCCACATCGTTTCGCAGATGCAGCATTTGTAGGAAGGGTTTTTCAAAAGTTAGGGTTTTGATTGAGTTCTATAATGTTATTTATGGAAATGAGCTTGAAGAAAGGCAACGTTGCCAAATCAAACACCCAAATTCAAACAGGAATGAATATCAACAATGAAACATCCCCCACAAAAACATTGTCGTTCCAACTTTTCACCTCCCGCATTGTTTACAATGGAGGAAAAAGGGGAAAAAGCCTATAGTAATCTTAGGGTATTTTGGTCAATGCAACATCAACAAACCCCTTATTTACCCCTTCCAAACAACATTATCTCACTTGCTGTTCGAGGGCTACAACGAAAATTCCATTCACTTGGGACCTTTCAGTCTTTCAAAAAAAATGCAGGACCATATTGTTCAAACTATACAAAGTTAGGATTTATTGGTTTTTTCCTTTTTCCTTTTTCATTTTTAGTTTTCAGTTTATATTTACAAAAATTTAAAAAGTTGTCAAAAAAACTTATTTGATAATTTTTTTGGTTTATAAATAGTTATCTCAGTTTATAAATTTGAGGAAAAAATGAGTTTACGTTGGTTTTTAAACAGAAATTTAAAAATTTGTTTAAATAATTTGACTAACAAATTTTTTTTTCAATTAATTCTTTTTTCAATTATTTTTTTTTCACATAATTTTTTTTTCAAATAATTTTCTTTCAATATTTTTTTTCAATTATTTTTTTTTAATTATAATGTGTTTGATCCCATTGTCATAGATAATAAAAAATAAATATAAATATTTTAGACTTGAATAAACATATTTTTTAGTTTATGTTTTTAAATTTTTTTAAACATTTTGTTAAAACCAAATGCGTTTGTAGTTTATGTTTTTCTAAAAATAAATAAAAATCAGTTTATAAAATTTTTGTAAAGATAAATAAAAAACAAAATGTTACCAAACGCTACCTTAATAAATAATTTTTTATCTCAATAATGAAAAAATTAAATTTCGAATAATATACTTTGGAAAAAAATAATTAAAAAAAATATAAAAATCCTTATTTAGAGCAACTCCAATGGTTTGCCATTAGAGAACCATTGGAGCTGCCATTGCTATAATATAACAGAAATGATTGAAAAGAGGTGCTCCAATGGTTGAATATAGCAAATGCCAAAACTTGTACCAAATTTCACACAAGTTTTGACCGATGTCGTATGTGTCAACTCAGTCGAAACAAATAAATTATTACAAAACCAAATTTTTGCAAAACCAAACACAAAAACTATTAAGAATTAGTGGGTTGCACATGCATTGCATGTGTAATTCAAAAAAAAAAAGAAAGAAAAAAAAGTAATAGTATAAGAATAATGATAAAAGAAATATGTACATATAATATTTGTTGCTCAAGTTGTAAGGGCTTGTTTCGCCAAACCCGTGATCTTGGCTTCAAGTCTTATCCTCTTCTTTTTTACATTAATATCAACTACATAGATATTTAGGGAAAACCCAAAATATGAGTCACAAATGTGCCCACAAAACAAGGAAAATTCACTAAATATATGAGAATAGACGTTAGGTGTTGTTTGATATTGTGTCAACACCACAAGGAGTATTTATATATGATAATAGATATTAGGTGTTGTTTGATAAAACTAAAAATTAAGTAAAAAAATTGAATGTTGAATTTTTTAATCTAAAAAACTGTTTGCTATGTAACGAAATTAAAGTATTGATTCCATTAAGCTGTTTGATCTATACAAGTAGCAGAAGTTTGAAAAACAATTAAAATTTTTATTTTGTTTTTTTACCTTTTACATTGAAAATTTTCATTAAATTATTTTATCACACTAATATAATTGCTAAAAAAAATAATATCGCTTGTACCCCTAAATTATACCTTAAAACTAAACAAAAATCACAAAACGGAACCAAAAAAGAAAAAAAGGGAAGGGGATTGATGATATCGCTTGTAACAGACACATTGAGTTGAGTATTGAACCAGGAACATTTTATAGTAACACTGGCGTAGGTTAGAGTTTAAATACTTATCTCAACTAGTTGTCCAATGTCCTCCTTTTTCCAAAATTACTCAAACCAAAATTACTGAGATTTAGTTTGGTTAGATAGATAATACAAGAAAGTAAAAAAAAAAAAAAAAGAAAAAGAAAAAGAAAATATGTATTTGTTTAGATAGAGAGTTAATGGAAACTAATGTGCTTGGTAAAGCTTTCAAAACTCAATTCCACCTCTTGGTTTGAGTGTGGTGTTTGGTTACAATTTTCAAAAATTGATTCTACACCCATTTCTGAAAATACGTCTATCTGGTCATCTTTCCGGACGTCCCCCCAGTTGACCGGAACAGTGTTCGTGTCTTCTTTTTTTTTAATATTTTAAATAAAAAATATTTTTAAATATTTTTAAATTTTTTTAATGAGTTTTGAATAGAATTTTGAGTTGTGTGTTTAGTTATGAGTTATATGTTTTTGAATCAAATATCATATGTCATATTAAAAATTTCAAACTCAATTCAAAATTATTTTTAAAACTTATAACCAAACAAATTTTCCACATTTAAATCATAATTCCAAAACTCACGAACTTAAAATAAAACTTTATTAATAACACCTGTAGGACCAAGTGTGGGGTTCACAGGCCTCTCACATCCATGCCCTGGACAAAAGCCATTTTTGCAGAAAAACAAGAAGAAAAGCAGCCAATACCAGAGCAAGAGCAAAAAAGATGGAGCGAGGAGGATGGAAACCAGTGTTGCACAGAAGAAAAGTGGGAAGTCAACTGAGAGAAAACACGGAGGGAGGCTGGATCACCATTTTTGTGGACAACATACCTGACTCAATGGATTCCAAAAGTTTATTCACTCTCTTTCGAAAGTTTGACGTAGTTAAAGATGTGTTTATTCCAGGAAAGCGGAGGAAAGCTTCAAATTCCAGATTCGGGTTCGTAAGATATGATTGTCAAGTGGCTGCTAGTGTGGCGATACAGAAAGCAGATGGTCTGTGGTGTGGAAACAAGGCACTAAGGGTAAAGCGGGCAGAATATCAAAAGATTCCGGCAGGGGGGCAGCAGAAGCCTAGGGGGCTGAGCAGAGGAGATGAAGGTCGAGTGCAGAATAGATGGGTGCAGCAGAAGCCTAGGGGGCTGAGCAGAGGAGATGAAGGTCGGGTGCAGAATAGATGGGTGCAAGCAACGAAATGGACAGGTAAGGGCGACCAGAAATCTTATGCAGAGGTATTACTCAGTGCAGATGCCAGAGGCAGGGACAGGGTGGTGATAAAGGCTCAAGCGGAAGGGAATGGGTGGAGGAGTGAAAGTTTAATAGTTCAACTGAGTAGTTTTTTAGCATTCAAGGATTTCAGGGAGGAAATGATATGTAGGGGCATGACAGATGTAGTTGCAAGAGAAGGGGGAGGCAGATTGGTGCTCTTAACTTTTCCCTCGGAACAGCTCATGCAGGAAGGAAAAAGAAAGCTGCAGGAATGGGGAGAGAAGTGGTGTGACTCTATCAACGAGTGGGAAGAAAGCCAGTTCTTCAAGCAAGAGAGGTGTGTTTGGTTACACTGTTTTGGCATTCCGATCAACCTATGGAGCACCACGACGATTCGAAGCATAGGTAGTTATTGGGGGGGGGGGGTTTAGTTTGAGGAGGATTTCAACAATCCATTAACTTTTCAACAAACCAAGGTTAGAGTAATCACGAGTAATCACAAGATGTCTAGAATGGATTAATACAACAGTTGTTCTGGATCACAAAGGTTGTCAAATTCCAGTTAGAGTCTGTGAAGAGTTGCCTAGGAGCTTAATTCCTAGTCCTTCTCAGAGCAACGAGATAGATCACGGTTGGCTGCAATCCAAAGGCATCGAAGAGGAAGATCAATTGTCTGGCAATGGAGGACGAAGCAAGTATGCCGGGGTAGCGTCTGAAGGAAGAGAGGGGTTGGTGAGTGATGGATTCGAGGGGGCTAGTAGGGTGGAGGAGACTGTGATGGACAGCCCTGAAAAGCAGGGTAGGGATAATGATGGAAAGCAAGCAAACAAAGTGGCAGCTATAGGGGGGAGCGTGGGGAAGGGCTATATTGGTGCAGGTTCCAAGACTAAGGGGTTGGAGAAGAAGGTCAACTCGTCCAAGCTAAGTCAGAAAGAAGTTCAAGTTAGAGATGAGGCAATGTGTAGCACAGGCCTCTTAAGAGAGTTAAGTGGGCCAGTAAAAGCAAGGCCCACAATAAATTTAGAGGTAGTAATTGAAGGAAAGAAGCTGGGGATAGAGCCCAATGGAATGGTGCAGGAGGTGGTATCAGATCTGAGTGAAAATATGGCCCAAACTCAACTTAGGCCTAATGCAACCCAAACCAATCAGAAAAACTTGGCCCGATGGACAGCAAAAGTGGGTAATATAAAGGATGGGGCAGTGCAGAATAGGGGAAAGACTTGGAAGAAAGGAATAGACCGAGGGAGAGGGGTGTTTGGCAGACTGGGTTTTCAGAGGGGAGCAATTTTGAGAGCTTCGGTAGAGGCAGCAGCTTACCTAACGACCACTAATCAGAGTCAGGCAGCGAGTAGAAGGAGGCAATTGATTGAGGAGGCCAAGGAAACTGTGAGAGTAGGCACAATGTTGGGAATGGATTGCCAAGGCAAAGAGAAGGAGGTAGTGAGCAGAATAGTGGAGCTGGAAGAGAAGGACTTGAGTAGAATTGAAGGGGAACAAAGGGCAACCAGAACTTAGCTGGTTGTCTATAGGAGAATGGGCGACAGTAGTGTGTTACTATGAAGATTTTATCGTGGAATGTTAGAGGGCTGGGGAGGCCAGAAAAAAGGGGAAAAATAAAAAGCTTGGTGAGGGAGAGAAGTGTTGATGTGCTCTTTCTACAGGAGACTAAAAGAAGTTCTATGGATGATAATTTTGTAAAAACAATCTGGCCTTATGAAGAAGTGGAATTTATGGTAGTTGACTCTGAGGGTAGTGCAGGAGGCCTCATAAGTATTTGGAAGCCACAAGTCTTCAAGCTCAAGGATTGTTGCAGTAGCAAAAATTTCATTATTCTATCAGGTATGTCTACTAATACTTTTCAGTGCACTCTGGTGAATATCTATGCTCCTAATGAGGTTATAAGGAGGAGACAACTGTGGGATTCTCTGGTGAGGATCCAGCAACATTTTCCAAACCCGTGGTGTGTGGGAGGGGATTTTAATGAAATTAGATACATGGGTGAGAGGAAAGGTTGTTCATCTAGAGAAAGAGGGATGAAGGATTTTAATGAGTTGGTGGAAAAATTGAAATTAGCAGATATGCCTTTGCTTGGAAGGCAGTATACTTGGTGCAATGCTCTGGATGGGAATAGGTGGAGTAGGATTGATAGATTCCTGTTAGACTTGAAGTGGATGGAAAAGTTTTCTTTTAAGCAATGGGGTCTACCAAGGTCAATTTCTGACCACTGTCCAATCTTGATTAAGGAGGATGATAGGGATTAGGGTCCAAAACCTTTTAAATTTATAAATGCCTGGTTATCTCATAAATCATTCATGTCAGAAGTCAAAAAGAGGTGGGAGGAAGCTAAAGTTCAAGGGTGGGCGGGGTTTAGAGTGATGAAAAAACTGAATATACTAAGGAGTCACTTAAGGGTGTGGAACAAGGAGGTGTTTGGCAATATAGACACTCAGTTAAAGGCAGCAGAGGAGGAGCTACATGAATGGGATTTGAAGCCAGAGTCTAGGTCCCTTGAAGTTCAGGAACTCAAGCGAAGAAGAGAAGTTAGTAGCCAGGTGTGGCAGCTTAGTAGGAGTAAGGAAAGGTTATGGCAGCAAAAGTCTAGACAGGTATGGGCTCTTTCTGGGGATAAAAATACTAGGTACTTTCACATTATGGCCAGTAGAAGACAGAGGAAAAATTTATTAGACTCTGTTGTTGTGGAGGGTCAAAGGGTGGAGGATCCAGTGCAGGTGAAACAAGAAGTAGCTAGGCATTTCCGTGTGTTGTTCTCTGAGGATTGGTTGGTAAGGCCCAAAATTCTAGGCCCTTTTGTAGTTATTAGTACTGTGGAGGTCGGAAACTTGGAAAGTGAGTTCTCAGAAGAGGAGGTATGGAATGCAGTAAAGGATTGTGATGGGAACAAAGCGCCAGGCCCAGATGGTTTTAATTTGAAGTGCATTCAACAGTGCTGGTCTATATTGAAAGGGGAGATACTACAAATGGTGAATGAATTTTACCAAAATGGTAAGCTGCCTGAAGAGGTCAATAGTTCTTTCATTACACTGATTCCGAAAAAGGATAATCCAGTAGGATTGGGGGATTATAGACCTATAAGCCTGGTTAGCTCGGTCTATAAAATTTTGGCAAAGGTGCTATCCAGAAGACTGAAGAGAGTTCTGCCATCGGTGATTAGTGAAGTACAGTCTGCTTTTGTGAGTGGAAGGTACATTTTAGATGGTGTGTTAATAGCCAATGAAGTAGTACATGCATGGAAGAGATCAAGAAAGCAAGGTGTTATCCTAAAATTAGACTTCGAAAAAGCTTATGACTCAATCAATTGGGAGTTTCTGTGGTCGATGTTGAAAAACTTCGGTTTTGGTGAGAAATGGATAAGCTGGATGAGGACTTGTGCTTCTACAACCATGGTGTCAGTTTTGGTTAATGGTTCACCCACAGTTGAATTTCAACCTCAGAAGGGACTTCAGCAGGGTGATCTCCTTTCACCTTTTCTGTTCATTATTGCAGCAGAAGCTCTCAATCTACTATTAGTTAGGGCAGTGGGGTTAGGCCTGTTTAGAGGTGCCTCAGTAGGGGGTAATGATCTGCGAATTTCACATCTTCAATTTGCAGATGATACAATAGTGTTTTGTGAGGGTGGTATGGAGGAGGTGCTAAATATTAAGAGGGTGTTAAGGTGTTTTGAAGTGATGTCTGGTTTGAAAATCAATTATCATAAGAGTGTTGTGTGCGGTGTGGGTTTTCAAGAGGAGGAAATTTTGGGTTTGGCTCGAAGACTAAATTGTATCTCTAAGAAATTACCTTTCAACTTTTTAGGTATGCCTCTAGGGGCCAATCCCAAGAGGAAGAGCACTTGGAGCCCAATAGTGGACAAGGTGAGAAAGAAGTTGTCTTCTTGGAAAAGAAAACTACTCTCTTTTGCTGGGCGTTTAACCCTAATTAAATCAGTTCTCTCTAATTTACCTATCTACTTTCTTTCCATTTTCAAAATGCCTAAGGGGATTGTTAAGGCTTTGGTCAAGATTCAGTCCAATTTTCTGTGGGTGGATCAGATACAAAGAGGAGTGTTCATTTGGTAAGTTGGGGTGAGGTAACAAAAAGCAAAAATCAAGGGGGTTTGGGGTTGAGGGATGTGGGTGAGGTGAATGACTGTCTGTTGCTAAAATGGTGGTGGAGATATGGTGCAGTGGATAAAGCCTTGTGGAAAACGGTGATATGCTCAAAATATGGCAGATTTGGAGAGGGTTGGGTGCCTTCTCTAGAAAGCACAGATGGGGTGTCCACTGTGTGGAAAGATATAGTGCAGCTAAATTCAACAAACCCGCTTCTGGGAGAATTCTATGAACAAAACCTGAAGTTATCAGTGGGAAATGGGAAGAGGATTCTGTTTTGGACAGATGCGTGGCATATTGGTAGAAGTTTGAAGGAGGATTATCCTAGATTGTATAGCCTATCCACTGAGAAGGAAGAAACCTTATCGCAAATAAGTGCTAAAAAGAGTCTAGGAGTGTGGCAATTTCATTTTAGAAGAAGACTGCTAGCTTGGGAGGAAGAGGAAGTAAAGAGGCTGTCTAGATTTCTGGAAACATCTCCAGTACTCAGGGAGGAAATTGAAGATTCTTGTTCCTGGCTTGCAGATAAATCAGGAAAGTTTTCGACATCCTCAGTATGGTGCTGGTGGGCTGTAGTTAAAGACCCGGGTGTGAAGGTGCCAGCTGGGGTGTGGGAGTGTATGGCATCTCCAAAGATGTAATTCTTCTGCTGGTTGGCTTGGAGAGGAAGAGTAAAGACTTCGTTATTCCTACATAGGATTGGGGTATTACCTGCCAATGCATTGCCCAAGTGTGTGTTCTGTCAAAGTGAGGAGGAGTCTTTGGAGCATGTGTTTTTGTTCTGCCCTCTGGTTTGGAATTGCTGGGCAGCCATGGTTAGTTGGTGGGATCAGTCTTGGGTAATCCCGGGCTCAGTGGAGGGTTTGCTGAAATGGTGGGCTGTGGGCAAAGGGAAGTCTTGGATAACTCGAGCTTGGCAGGCTATCCCCTCTCTCGTGTTCTGGTCGGTTTGGAAATTAAGGAACGAATGTTTGTTTAAGGGTGTTGCACCAGACTTCGGAGGATTAAGCGAGAGAATGAAAGTTCAAATAGCAATGTGGGTAAAATGGAAAAAAAAAAAAAAGAAAAAGAAAAAGAAAATATGTATTTGTTTAGATAGAGAGTTAATGGAAACTAATGTGCTTGGTAAAGCTTTCAAAACTCAATTCCACCTCTTGGTTTGAGTGTGGTATTTGGTTGCAGTTTTCAAAAATTGATTCTACACCCATTTTTGAAAATACGTCTATCCGGTCATCCTTCCGGACGTCCCCCAATTGACCGGAACAGTGTTCGTGTCTTTTTTTTTTTAATATTTTAAATAAAAAATATTTTTGAAATTTTTTTTATGAGGTTTGAATAGAATTTTGGGTTGTGTGTTTGGTTATGAGTTATAAGTTTTTGAATCAAATATCATATGTCATATCAAAAATTTCAAACTCAATTCAAAACTGTTTTCAAAACTTATAACCAAACAAATTTTCCACACTTAAATCATAATTCCAAAACTCACAAACTTAAAATAAAACTTTATTATCAAATCATAATTCTAAAATTCTACCAAACGCTACCTAAAGTTTCTTGTACAACTCAAACTAGCATATTAGTTAGGCTAATAATTTCTTGCAAAATATACAGAGAAATTTATTTTTTTCTTACAAATCTTGACAAGGTTTATTTTATTTTCCTTTTTGCTCATATTTCTTCCCTACAATTCCTTGTTATGCTGTGATTATTATTTTTTCCCATCATTTTCTTACAAAATTTTTCATCTAGTCAAATGCATGCAAGAAAATAAATTTTCATTTGTCTTCCTTTCTTTCACTTCACTTTCTGCTATTTTCATTTTCTACCATCCATTTCTTTCTAAACAAACGGAGCCTAAGAGAAATATTATTTTTCCCTCTAAATTATTATGCAAAAATTAATTTTGTATTCAAATTTTGTCTTATTTTAATTTGATATTTAAATTTTTTGAAATTTGATCAATTTACTCCCATCGATTGATTGTAGATCGTTTGATTCCATCTACATTCAAACGGAATGTGCTGACGTGACACTAAATTTCATTTGGAACTTTATTTTACCTCCTAAATTACACCTTAAAAATCAATTAGCCCCCAAATATTAAAAAAATTAAATTAAAATATTTAATAAATAATTTTTTATGTCAATAATGAAAAAATTAAATTTCAAATAATATACTTTGTAAAAAAAATATTAAAATCCTCATTTAGAATTGTTTTTTTAAGTCTCAAATTATCTCAAATCGATCATGGAGAAACTCTTTGAGCCGAAATTTCTTGGCTACTCTATATGTGTGCGCATGTGCAATTATAACTAGTTTATTCTCCGAATTAATTTCAATAAAATTGATCGACTAATAGTAATTTCAAAATTGAGCGAGTAAAAATTTAGATCACCCTTACTATGAGAGTATCTTCTTTTGAAATTAGAAAATTTATATTGAACAATAAAAATGAATATGTCGAGATTTACCTATAAAATCGAGATTACCTACTCAATCGTATCATCGATTGAATGACAATTTAACGTAAAAGTTACTAATTATCATCTAAAGAATACTCAACAAGACAACACTCAATTTTTATTTAAAATTTAATTTTTTTTAATTTTTGAGATAAATAGTTATTAATTAAATATTAATTTTTTTTTTTAAAAAATATTTGGAGGGCTAATTGATTTTTAAGGTATAGTTTAACGGGTAAAATGAAATTCCGAATGAAATTTGATGTCATGTTAACACATTCCATTTGATTGTAGACAGAATTAAACGGCGGAGGATAAATTGATCAAATTTTAAAAAGATTAGGTGTCAAATTAAAATAAGACGAAATTTGGGTGCTAAATTTCTTTTTGCACAATAATTTGGGAGACAAAATGATATTTCCTCAATTACTAAACTATAAAAGCAAAGTGTCCAAATAGAAGTGCACAAACAAAGCTCTAAAACTATTAAAGAATTAGTGGGCTGCACAAGCAATGTGTGCACAATTAAAAAAAAAAATGTAATACTATAAGAATAATGATAAAAGAAATATGTACATATAATATTTGTTACTCAAGTTGTAAGGGCTTGCTTCACCAAACCCATGATATTTGTTTCAAGTCTTGTCCTTACAAAGGTATTTTGAAAAAAAACCCAAAATATGAGTCACAAATGTACCAACACCACAAGGAACCTTCACTATATATATTAGAATAGATAGAGGTATTTTGGAAAAACCCAAAATATGAGTCACAAATACACGAACACCACAAGGAACCTTCACTTTATATATTAAAATAGATATTAGGTATTGTTTGATAAAACTGAAAACTAAAAATTAAGTACAAAAAACTGAATGCTAAATTTTTTAATCTAAAAAGCTATTTGCTATGTATTAAAATTTAAGTGTTGATTCAATTAAGCTATTTAATCTATACAAGTAGTTGAAGTTTGAAAAATAATTAAAATTTGTATTTTGTCTTTTTACCATTTACATTGAAATATTTCTTTAAATTATTTTATCACACTAATATAATTGGTAAAAAAAATATTATAATCGTAATTATAACATTATATTTCAAAATTTTAAAAGATTATGATTATTAGGAATTTTCTTTCTTATATAGGTACTAAATCATTCATGCAATAAAATAATAATTGCAAAGATAATTAATTAAAACTTATTTCTTATTTCATCATTTTGCTCATATATCACCAATATCAAATATCCATGGAATCCTTTCACATGTAGGAACCATAAAATTTATCAAACATTACCTTAGAAAATTGGAGACAAAAAAAAAAAAAAAATGTTCTTCAATTTCTACTAATAACTAAAAAATCGTCAATGTGCAAATATGATAATTATATTTATAACTCGCATAAGTTGAGCATTGCAATTTGCTCATGTAAGTTGAGTATAAAATTTTGATCAGCTTGTGTCGATCTCTCTCCTATTTCTAAGCTTTATAAATTCTTCCCATGTTGGAGGTTGTTGCCATGGCCATTCACATTGTTGAGCTCTTCAAAAAATCTGTCTGTAATGCACATTCTCCTAAGAAAATTGTGTATGGTTTACACAAGCAATTACAATATTCCTTTGCGTAGTAAACGTATATGTAGGCATCTTCTTTAATATTGGAAAACAAGTCTTCAATACTCCAAAAGCACGTTCAATCACATTCCTTAATTTAGTATGTGATTGGTTGAATCGCTCTTCTTTTGTTCTAGGACAACAATTATTTCAAAATTCAAATAACCAATATCGCACATTACGACAAGGTGTCATAAATCCACAAGTATGTGTATACGTCGCATCACATAAAAAGAACCTTCTCTGTACAAAAGAATAAAAAATTATCATAATATATAAAATGAGAAATTAATATAAAATAATCACTTAACCTAGAGGAAGAATCGGAAAGTTGTTAGTTGGATCACTCATGGTCTCTTTTAACACTCTTAGAGTCATGTGCTATCCCTTCCCAACTAGTCCAAACAAATGTGGACACCATATCAAAATCACGTATAGCAAGAACATTTTGGTAACAATCGCTCCTTCCTCTTCCCTTATAAGGAGCTTGTTGGTCAAGTGGTATAGCAGCAGAAATAAATATTCCATCAGGTGCACCCACTGCACCCTTTAAAAGCACAAATTTATCAATGTAAAAAACTTTAAAATGTCTAATAAGTTGCCACATTTTCTTCTACAGATATATAATGATTATCTTCTAGCCACCCTCTAGCCCAAAAATGACGACACATATGTACAAATGCTTACTTTTTCATCTTTAGCATTTCTTGACAATGTGATTCATTTCCATCAAGAATTTCTTTCAAATATGTAGCTCCTCTCCACAAAGAATCAGCATATGACCTCCTTTCTCCCCTCCTAGTACATTTTTTCTCAATATTTTTATTATAAAAATAATCGCAATAATCTTTAATGCACTCTTCTGCTTCTCAGACAACATCTTCCTGATATTTTAATAATATCGAAATTAGATTAACATAAAACAAAATATCAATTTAAAATACACATCCAAATTAAAACATTGCAAATGTCCTCAAAAAAAAAAAAAAAAAAAACATTGCAAACAAATCCATCAATGATAAATATATTAATTGAAAAATAAAGTTCCAACCAAATTATTATAAAAACAACCCTAAACAATGTATTCAAAATTCTCTAAACATTCTCGTATTCATAAATTCAAAATAGTCCTATTTTTAACTATTTCTAGTTTCTAACGTTGCAACATCCATTGCTCTCTATGTGCCTTACTCTCACAAAAAATACTATACGCAATTATATATAATGGGTTAGTCATTTCACAAAGTTGTATCTCATCCAAAATCTAATTGCATTCTTCTATACTAGGCCCTTTAGAATTCTGTAATATTTCAAGCGTTTCAAGTAGTTGTTCATCAAGATCACCATATTTGTTTTTTTTTTTTTTTGACGTTTATTTGCAAATTTTGCCACATCCTTTGGTGAAGGTGTCTCAATAAATTCATCATCACGATTAATCGGTAGGTAACCCTTCTTTCAATGGGCCCCATGAAAATTTTCCAGTTGCTCTAATACCATCAAATAATGCTTTTAGCTCATTTGTACGTTATAAACCAACATATCAAAATTGTTTTGCCTTAGGCAAATAGGTGAAAGAGCTACTGAACGTCCTCTAAGACTATCGAACTACTCCTCGGCAGTCAACGGGTTAAACGCCTTACTCACTCACCTATGGGATGGAGACAATCATTCCCTTAGAAGTTGGCCTTCCTACCATCCGTTCTGAGATCTTTGAGCCAATAAACAACAACGAAGCCATTGCCTAAGCTCAAGACATAGTCGAAGAGCGCAGGGAAGTTGTTCTCATTCGATTAGCTTGCTTTTCGTGTTCCTTTCGGATACGATAGCCCTACAGTTCGGACTCCCGTGGTTCTAAATCTAATTTCACAAGTGCAATGTGAAATAGATAAATACAAATGAGTCCAAATCCGACAATTCTTTTGAAAAATCAATTTTGAATCAAAATGCAAAAAATGGACTGCTTTGCCAGATTACAGAGTCGCCACCTAAATATTTTTTTTGGAAAATTTAGGAAACCCGAAGCTTATGCCAAAGGCCACTTATCCGTCATCACCAAAGTGTCTCGGCTCGAGAACTTAGGTCCGAGAGGGGAAGGCCATGATTTGAGCACCTTACTCGCCCGATCAAAGATCGGCCTCTATTAATCATGATGTGATTCTTATTTACATTATATGCTCTTGTTCCGATTTATTAGACTATTTTTACTATATGTTGCACACAAGTATAGAATAATTTACAAAAGTTGAAACATTTTGATTTTATGTTTGTTTTGAAAAATTGTTTTGAATATGTGCCATTTGAAAAAATGATCTCATATGTACATTAATCAAACTATCTCAAGTTAAGCAATTAGCCTTCATCCACAGGCATTCGAACAAGTATATCACTTGAGTATTTAGCCTCATGGTATTATGCTTGACATGACAACAATCACACTCATGCAACGTGCTAAAGCAAAAAATGCTTACCTAGTACTCCAAGGCAAGCCAAAAGAGAGCAAAATAGTTAGAAAAAAATTCATGATCCTAACTAATGCAACTTGACTAATGCAACACAAACAAAATACAATTAGTAGGCTCGACTACTAATATGGCATGTGAGACAATTTGATAACATGCAGTTAAACACGTATTCAAGTAAGAATTTTGAAACTTGACATCATTTTGCATGATGAGCTAAACCTTTATGTATCTAAAACAAATGGATGCAAATCATGGAAAATGCTAAAGAAAACATGATGCTACATGCAATCCATCATAAGCAAGTAAACAAAAAGGAGAAAGAAATAGGGATTGAAAGACACACAATATTACATATTTGCCCTCGCACAAGAGGATCCGAATAAATATCCTAGCTAATTACTACGAACTAACTAACTATTACAATACCAAAAATAAATGAATCAACTATTTTAGCTAATTATTTACAAGTGAGAACCAATTAAGTACAAGACAAAATTAATTAACTAAGCTATTACAAATAATTACACTGAATTAATTACAAGATAGTAATTAACAAGCCACAGGGAGGAAGTGCTTATGCATTAAATACGGATTTGCCACCCAAAAATACCCCTGTTTAGCTGCCAGAATGATGCTGTTTTGTAGTTAGAAAATTGCACAGTTGTTCACCTCAGCCTCAGCTCTGTTCTGCAGGGAAACAAAAAAGACACTGCCTGGCTGAAAAAGGTAGTTGGCCGGCTAGAAGAAGTGGTCGTCCATACAGTAAAGTGGCTAGCCGGCTACTAATGTTTGGTACTGCTCTGCTGCAACAGACATGAAACAGAGTATTTCAGGAGATGTTTGTCCACTCTACCCCTCCTTATCATCAAACAGATCAAAGAATAGGTGGGCTTGATTCGCAAGCCATCAATCGACGTAAATTCATTGTGTGGTGACTTACGAACCAAGGGATACAATCTCAATAAATGACAATGAAAGACTCGCAAAACCTCCTCCCTATCATAGAATTGATCAAGGGAAGTGGTTGACATTGACTCTTGAACCATTTTCATCACGAACAAGTATGAAACAACTCAAGACTCAAGGGGTTCAATTGACGTCCGATTGAACCCAAGTTGATTTCATTATCTTGTTTCATTTTAACCCCAATTTTATTACATGTTTTAATTACCTTTCCATTCATTAGTCATTTTAGTCCAATAATAAAGATTAAGTCCACTAATGGAGAGGAGTGTCAAACAAAGGACTGTTTTGGACATGAGAGAGAGGTCATGCCTTTGGTAATGAATCTCCGAAGAGATTAAACCATTAAGCACGGATTTCTCTTTCTCAAACTTAAACAATACTTATTTGAAACAACTCTCAAAGTAATAGAAAAGCCAAGAAAAGAGGGAGAGTGCAGAGGTGATTAGAGGTGAACACTAGTATGGAAAGCTTGAAATAAAGGCTATCAACTCAAATAGGTTGGTGTCTAATGCCTAAAACACCAAACCTATGAGGACCACTATACTACATGCCTACTATACAAAGCATAAATGAAATAAACAACATAAAATAGTCCTAGAATAGCTAAAAACAGTGCTGAAATTCTAAGAGAAAAGCTTGAAAAAGTTAGCTAAAATAACAAGGACATGAAGCTAGTAAACAAGCACGAGGAGGGGAGGTTAACCCCTCCATTTTTGGGACTTTAAAACTACATTTTTGGCCACTGAAAGCCCCTAAAATTCAGTGGCAAAAAGCTCAAAAAAAAAAAAAAAAAAAGTTGATGAAGAGATGGGAAACACAAGGGCAAAAGCTTGGGATACAAGGTACAAAAAAGGGAAGCTAGTAAACAAGCACAAGGAGCGAAGGTTAACCCCTCCATTTTTGGGACTTTAAAACTACATTTTTGGCCTCTGAAAGCCCCTAAAATTCAGTGGCAAAAAGCTCAAAAAAAAAAAAAAAAGTTGATGAAGAGATGGGAAACACAAGGGCAAAAGCTTGGGATACAAGGTACAAAAAATGGTGGTCCACCCCTCTACTTTGGATAGCTTTTAACCACAAGTTTCAGCCCATAAAAACAGTTGAAAAATAATTCAAAAACAGCAAATAAAGATAGGAAATAAATAAGGAAAAGAAGCTAGAAGTATGTCTCTCGAAGAGGAGTAACCCCTTGGAGTTATAAACCACCAATTTCTCACCCTCAAGAACTAATATTCAAGCTCAATAACCTCAACAAAGAACCCATAAAATTTGGTTTAGGAAGTCTAGGTGAGGTGTGTGTATGTTGCAAGGAAGACATATATTTTTTCCAAGAATTTGGCTTCACCAAAATTTTCTAACCTATTTTTATGAGAGGGGGTCAAGTATATATAGAAAATTATGTTACTCCCTCGGAAATATCAGTATAGAAACAGTTGGTGTAGTGCATGCACCTGTGGAAACAGTTGGCAAAAATATCTGTTTTTACTGACACAAGTGGCCGGCCGGCCACTAAGGGGATGGCCGTACACTCATTTGTGGCCAGCCGGCCACTAAGTGGTCTGTAGGCCTCTGGGTGGTCAGGCTTGGAAAAAAACTATTTTTGTCCAAGAGTGGTGCAAGGTTTGTAGACTTTTGAGGCTCAAAATCGAGACTTTCTCCTGAGAAAGTCGAGCGTTTGACAAGCGTGAAACTTCATCATTGGGTGATCAATCGGTGGCGCCTAAGTCTTAAAGGCAGTAAAAAACGGGGTGTCTACAATGTGCGCCCAAGACAATTCCTACTAGGTGAATTGACTCTCAGGAAGGTGATGGATCACACGAAAGTTCCTAGAGAAGGGAAACTCAATATGGAAAAGGCCTTACAAAGTTACCTCAGCCATCGGCAATAGAGCTTACTACCTAGCTGACTTAGCACGGAAGGCAATCCCATGACCATGGAATGTTGCTAACCTAAAGAAGTACTTCCAGTAATGTAATTCTCATAACGCACCTTGATGTAATCACAAGCTTCTAAGTATCAATGAATGTAAATTCTCTCTACAAATTGTCTTTATTTACTTATGTGTTGTACATTTGTGCTCGGTGGAGCAGACTGGCCACGGGTCTTAACTCGAGCCAAGCCTAGATGCTCGGCCCTTTGATAGAATGGGCAAATACAATTAAAAGTAGCAAATTTGGATTGGACTTAGCCATAGAACCACAACCTTTATTGGATAAAGAAATGTTTTCATAAAAAAATCTCTATTTTCACCTTCTTTCTTTCTCTATTCTTATTAAATTATTTTAAAATTAAATTCTTACTCTAGTAACAATATAGAACAAAGGACAAGATGTCCATATATAACTCTGAAACAATGGTGTTCTCTCCCATTGCTCTTTAGTGAGAAACACTCATCTGTCCTGTGGTCCATGTTCGAATTTGTGCAACAACTCTAACCATAGTTACTACTTAATTTAGATAGAATTCTAATTAAAAATCAATTGACAAACAATGTTGACAAACACAACAATCTGCAATCAGAGAAGAAACAAAACTTGAATTCAGGACTTGCTGAAAATTAGAGCTCACACCATATTAAAGTCACTCTAATATATATATATATATCAATTTCCAACAAGGTGAGAGAAACGAGTACATGAAAACTCACAACGCAAACCCGTCAAACAATTAATATTGTTATGATGATCATATTTTATTACCGTGTTTTTGAGATGGCAATTGAGAATACTACACATCTATAATACGTCCTAGTTCCTGCTCCAAGTCCAGTCCTAGCCCCTCTTCCAGTCCTAGTCCCTCCAAGCTTGTAAACAAATTGAGCATTGCGGTTGTAATTTTTTTGTAATGCCATTGGCTAAGATGACGAAAAATCAAGTCCCATGTCACTAGACCCACAACAATGACAATGAAAACGAGCCAAATCATGTAGGAAGCCAATAGAGCCGATTTGGGACGAAGACAGAGACAAGGGACATTGCAGAAAGAAGCCTTGAGATCAGAACAATTTGGCTAAAGAATCAAGAATAGTTCAAACAAAGCTGAGCCAACTGGAACAAAGCTGCCAAGCCATAAATGCATATTGCTATCAGAAAAATCCCATGTTCTTCGAGTGAGTTTGGAATAGAGAGTCATGTCTGTTTTGATACTCGATTTGAATTAAGCCAATCACCAATATAAGAAAAGCTATAAATGTAGCATGGCATGCAACAACCTGGAAGAAAGTGAATTCTCTTGTTCTAGCAATAGCAAGAATCAAAGATAAAAAATATGTATTAGAATCATCATAGGATTCGAAAGAAGTACCATTTTAGTTTTTATTTATTTTTAAATGTAAAACCAACTTTGTTCTCAATTGTAAAACTTTGGCCGGATTATTTAAAACGGTAGCCGAAAGCTGGAACCATTTAGGTAAGAGATTGAAAATTAAAAGATAAAATAATAAAAATAGAATGTGCAAATACATGTAAAAAATAACAAATTGGGATTGCATTAGCCAAAGAACCCACTTGTTTTTTTTTTGGATTCGAAAGGAATTGGAGTGGTTTAGTTGAATCAAACTAACATTTATAAACATGTTAGCAACTAATGTCATCTTACAAAATCAACCATTTAAATCATCAAAATGAGATTTGTGATAGACTGTACGGGGTCCGGACAACACGGTCAAGTTAAAAAATACTACAAACTTTACATATAGTACGTGGGGCCTATGTGTTATCTAAACTTTGACATAAAATAGGCTAATAAAAATTGAAGGATATATCCTCTGTTTTCCAAACTTTGATAGATTCTGAGCCACTATCACCATTTTTGTCAAATCTGGAGTTTTACGTAATCATTTCCCTTAAAAGCAATGGGGTTGAAAACTAGACTCATAAATCAATTCTGGAAACTCTTACAACCCACATACTATATTTAAAGTTTGTAGTATTTTTCAACTTGACCGTATTGTCTGGACCCGTACAGTCTATTACAAATCTCATTTTGATGATTTAAATGGTTGATTTTGTAAGATGACATTAGTTGCTACCATGTTTATAAATGTTAGTTTGATTCAACTAAACCACTCCAATTCCTTTCGAATCTAAAAAAAAACAAGTGGGTTCTTTGGCTAATGCAATCCCAATTTGTTATTTTTTACATGTATTTGCACATTCTATTTTTATTATTTTATCTTTTAATTTTCAATCTCTTACCTAAATGGTTCCAGCTTTCGACTACCGTTTTAAATAATCCAGACAAAGTTTTACAATTGAGAACAAAGTTGGTTTTACATTTAAAAATAAATAAATACTAAAATGGTACTTCTTTTGAATCCTATGATGATTCTAATACATATTTTTTATCTTTGATTCTTGCTGCTGCTAGAACAAGAGAATTCACTTTCTCCCAGGTTGTTGCACGCCATGCTAAATTTATAGCTTTGCTTATATTGGTGATTGGCTTAATTCAAATCGAGTATCAAAACAGACATGACTATTCATTCCAAACTCACTCGAAGAACATGGGGATTTTTCTGATAGCAATATGCATTTATGGCTTGGCAACTTTGTTCCAGTTGGCTCAGCTTTGTTTGAACTATTCTCGATTCTTTAGCCATCTTGTTCTGATCTCAAGGCTTCTTTCTGCAATGTCCCTTGTCTCTGTCTTCGTCCCAAATCGGCTCTATTGGCTTCCCTACATGATTTGGCTCTTTTTCATTGTCACTGTTGTGGGTCTAGTGACATGGGACTTGATTTTTCGTCATCTCAGCCAATGGCATTACAAAAAAATTACAACCGCAATGTTCAATTTGTTTACAAGCTTGGAGGGACTAGGACTGGACTTGGAGCAGGAACTG